TTGTGTTTCATGATGCGATCAGCCCACGTGTTTAACCTGACGCGAGTTTAACATTTTTTACCCATACAAAAAGTGTACAACGCCGCTAAAGAAGTTTTCACTACAAAAATACTACTTACTTCTGACATCTTTATACTATTGAAAACCGCTCTTGATTAACCGGTCAGGTTATAATAATTAGGGTACACGTCCGAATTGAACCGCAGACCACAGGCCGCAACTGCAGACTGCAGGCGACACTACTAGTTTGTATAAATCTCTATGAAATTAATTCCGAGCGCGGCGGTATGCCGCGGCTGCACAATGCATATAAAGTACAATTCCGCAATGGGCTCCAGGCGAAAACAGCAGGCGACACAGCGGCTAGCGCTTGCGGCTGATCATGTATTATATGCATTGTGCAGTCGCCGCACTCGGAATAAATTTCGTAGAGATTCATAGAAACTAGTAGTGTCGCCTGCAGTCTGCAGCTGTGGCTTGTGGTCTGCGGTTCAGTTCGGACTTGTACCTTTATTCACGGTCAGCCGCAGTGTCGCCTGCGGTTGTCTCCTGCAGCCCATTGCGGAATTGTATCTTTAAAGTCTGCTACGATTCATTAAGTTGCATGATTGATTGCTACGGGAGACATACAATGGTGTCGCTTCCAGCATGATTCTCTAAACTTAAAACTAAATGTAACATCAATGTCTCCTTTTCATTCTGTGTAGAGGAAACAAGGAAACACTGTAAAATTTCATGGTCACTAACATTATAGTAATATAAGTTATTTACGGGATTGTTACCATGTACTTTGTTTTTAGCGAGTTTCCAATATTTCGGCACTGCTGCAAGCGCCATGATCACGGAGTAACTTACTTACTTTACTCCGTGATCATGGCGCTTGCAACAGTGCCGAAATATCGGAAACTCGCTAAAAACAAGGTACATGGTAACAATCCCGTAAATAACTTATATTACTATAAGGAAACACTGTTGTCAAATTTAAGTTTAGATTAAGAGAATCATGTCAGAATCGACACCAATAGTATCTAACTTGATTCCGTTATACCTTTTGGGTACGATGAGGATACGGATATTCATTAGTTTTCATTCAATATAGATTTTATTCAATATATAGAAATAAAAATAAATCACCGAAATGTATGTAAGCACATAACTTGCAAACGACTAAAGCCAAATTGGATCATTCTTTTTTGATGTGTTCGTTATTGTAAGGACAATGTTAGTATAAAAGATTTTTTTTAAAATCACAGTAATTTTAATTTATAATATAAAAAATGAGTAAATGAAAAAAAAGAGTATGAGATATTCAATATATCGACAAAACATTGAGAGCGGGCATAAATAGTTAAATAAGTTTTTAGGAATTTCCAAAAACATATCCATCCAAACATATCAATATCGCCGGGCAGTTAGCAAGCAATATAAACAAAGTTTATTGTACGTAGTCTCAAATTCTCGTGCGCTTATTTGGCTATCAAAATGCAAGTAGTCGCGTAAGAGATACCATTTTCCCATGACTTAAATAAGATAGCGCACATCAGCGCAGATTTCATTCGAGGCAACAACGGCAGAAGAGACAGTCCGTACAACAAACCAATTGCGAACGTCGGCCGAGACAAATGGCATGATTAGCATCCACACCCCACTCGACTCCTTTTAAACGACGTTAAATAAAGGTTTTAGTGGGAAATAGTTGCGAAAGCGAATTGCCATTTTATTACAAAGGACATGGCTAAGAAACTGGCCTTAACGTGTATAAATATTTCGCACTAGCCCGTAACTTTACAATATTTTTTTATTAATTATTACATGTTTATTATTCTCATACAACTTTCTTAAAATAATCAAATATTTAAAAGTATAAAAATAGACTTCATGTCTGTTTCAAAAGCAAAATGTTCCGTTTTACAAAATAAATGAAGAATAAATGTACACAAAATTTATTTGTGTAAGTATATCGAAATAAACAATATCATTTCTAAACTCCTTCAAACTATGACATATTTGGCCCTAATTTTTATTATAACAAATCACTGAAGGCCTAGAATAATAGATTTTATTATTCTGAAGGCTGTATGATAACTAATCCTTTAATTTTTGCAAATGGACAAAATAAAACTTCACAGATTTCCTGTCAGGCCGACAATAACAAATTATTTGTATTTATTTTTGTTTTAAAAATCTTTTTGTGAAGAGTTAATCAGAGAAATGGGAAGAAAGATTCTAAGAAAATGCGAAATTGATGACCCTGTAAATAATTGGCAATATCTTTCATCAACTGTAGTAAGGTAATGACATAGTACCTAGGAGTTTTCATAATTTTCAAGATTGTGACTTTATCAAAAGTTCCTGAGCCTTTTTTCATAGAAATTTTAAATATTCAGCCATTTACCATTAAATATTACTAAGTACAGTATTTATACATTGCCAGGGCAGTCACTCATACAAAACTTTACCATGTCCTTTCTACTTAAAATCTGTACGTTGGATTAAAAAGCCGGGTAAGTGCGTGTCGTGCCACGCAGAGAGCAGGGTTCCGTAGATTTTTTGTTATGGTTTTTTAAATATGTAGTTATAAAAAAAAATATTTTGTTTTTCAATGCAAGCTTTTACACGTTAAGCGCTAGCAATCACTTCATCCAAGTCACTTTTATGTATTCTTCTAAAGATAGTTTATTCAGGAGCACACACTGACTGCCTTTTTCTATGTTCTTTCCTTTCGCGGGCCTGCTGGAAGAAATTTCATTATGGAATAAGCAGTGCCCTTGTACATGTCTCTTGTTTCTCTTTTTCCTAATATTTTATTGTGTGTGTACAAAATAAATAAATAAATAAATAGTTTTTATAAAATAAGTAATTTTCTAATACATAGGTTGAATGGCTGTTACTCCCAAACTAAGTGATATAGCTAAACCGTTATAATTTTCCTTAAAAGGAGATTACTCAAATTGGCCTAAATGCACAAAAAATATTGACATACACGGTAATTCTTGGCGTAATTTATAATTTAATTTATATTCATTAGATTTCAACGGACACCTTTGTATAATATATTTACTTTAAAAAGGACTTTTAATTTTACCGGTTTGGAAAACATACGAATCATTTTTAAAGGCTATGGGTGTAGTAACATTCAGCCAAAGACTGATCGAAGTTGTTTATATAACATAAAAACAAATCTATTTTGTAAAGATCGATAAAATAATTTTTTTTTTATTACACTGTGGTATTAATATCCACAACTATATTATCATTTTCACTAGATGCAAATGTGCTCAGACAATTATTATAGATGGTAGACGACATCGTAAAGTCTATTGGCATACATTTTTCGCTAAACACCTCCATAAACACATTATAATCTGTATATATGTTAGACTTTAAGGTATCTATCTATCTATGGGCCTACGTTCCCTGACTATAAATTAATAAATTATAAAAAAGATAAGGTGTGATACACTAAAAATCTAAAATATGGTTATCTTAAAAACATAACAAAAATAATGAAGCTACTGAATATATGGCTATAGAACCTAAATCTCTTAGCTTTCTTTGGTTAACGAGAGCTTAAAAATTCTCTCTAATCTGTGGCTCATTCACAATCATCACACAGTTTCTGTCACAGAGTACTTTATTATAACCGGAAATGACACCTGATTTTAAAAGTCACTCTTATGCATTAACTTTAAAAACAGGCAACTATCTGTTAATGTACATGCTCTATATACCTGAATCTAATCCATAATTTCGGTACTTGGCTTGATTTCCCTAGTTTACTATATAACTTATTTGTCTTTTATTATTTTAATATGTTCAGTGTATATGGCTTATAGAAGGTCTCAGGGGTGTCCGTCAATATTCTACAGTAATTTATATATAATTTCGAATCTAGGAAACAATTTTTCATGATTATTGGTCTTTAGGCCAAACATGTATGTTCTTGTATATTGTCTTTCATATTTATTCACTATTATCACGAATTGATTTAGGTTTTTTAAGCTAATAGATTAAGCTTTTAGATTACACCCAACTGTAACAAAAATTTGCATTTTAAAGCTTAATATTTCGCAAACGGATCCCTTAATCGAAAAATAGTCTTATCAACCCCTAAGTAATTTAAAAGACCTATTCAACGATACCCCACACGATGGGGTAGACAATGAAAAAAAAACATACGCACTTTAAATGTTACAGCTACACTAAAAAAATATTTTTCAAAATTTTATTCTACTACTGTCGGCGTAATTAGTATACATACCTCCACAAAATTACAGCTCTCTAGTACCATCAGCCTTCAAGCAAAACCTTAGACGGACAGGCAGTATTTTATGTATGTATTTATTTATGTATTATTTTTGTGTATAATATCAATATAATTCAGTGATACAGTAACTGAATGCTCAACTCATTGTATGTAGCTTTTCCCAATGACGTTTTAAAATTTCAGAGGGAGATATTTAAATTTTAAATTAATTAGATAATTATTTTTTGGTTGGACGTCCTCTTGAGGGCGATTTGGTATTAATAAGTATCCTTTTTGTTTTAATAAGCAAATGACTTCAGAGAGTAGTCAAAGCTAAGGAAATCCTTTGATATATTGCATCGTTAGACGGACCATCTCCTCCGTCGCTGATTCTGGTTGTTAATCGCACCATTTGTCACCATCGCGCATCGTATTCACTAGGAAACGAATTCGAATTTCTCGAACGATTTCGAAAGGAAATCGAGTCGAGGGGGTGTTTTCATTGAGAAATGTGAAATGCATTTCTTCCTTCCTTGCCGTGTATTTGATGCTGGGATGTTACTTCACTACTGGCTTATCAATGTGGTGATGTTTCTCATTTCGTTTTATTTTCTTGATATAAGTAAGCAATGGTTGATAGGAATGCAAAATGCAAAACTTTATTCTCGCTGTCTTTATACTTAACATAAACTTAAAAGTTACTTTATCCACATTTTTCTAATGCTACCACGTTCAAATCGATTTTGTCGATACAATGGCGATAGAAAAGAAAATAAGACTATTTTCTGATGCGCAAAGCATAAAACTGAAAGGTGCTGCAAAAGAGGTGTGCAAATTTTTATGGAAAAGATATTCTATGAAATGTGCAGCTACTCTCGAATACTTGGATTTGATTAAAACGCTAGTTTTCTTTCTCTATGAGCTCGATTTTTTGTATCGCGATCACCAAGTAGAAGGAGATTTCACTACCTTATCTTACCGTTTTATTAATATATACATATATTTATAGGTCTCAGTGCATTCGACAGAACTGAGAAATATTTGCTATTTTTACCAAAAATGTAGGGTATAATCGGTAAATGAACCGATTACCGATTTACCTGTAATGAGAGCATTTGATTATACAGGACCGTGATTCGAAGATATAAAGCTTATGTGTAACGTTTGTCTCTATTGCCTCCAGGCTTGCGTCCCGGGCCTACTGCCAGAGCGGAGTCCCTGGACGCGATCAAAGTGTCGGCGGTGTCGGGCGGCGAGGCGACGCTGCCCTGCGACACGCGCTCACCGCAACCCACTGACGTGTTGCTGCTCGTCGTGTGGTACAAAGACGACATCCCAATCTATAGGTAAGAACGATTGCCTCAATTGCTTCTAGACTTGCGTCCTGGGCCTACTGTAAGAGCGGAGTCCCTGGACGCGAACAATGTGTCAGCGGTGTCGGGCGGCGAGGCGACGCTGCCCTGCGACATGCGCTCACCGCAGCCCACTGACGTGCTGCTGCTCGTCGTGTGGTACAAAGACGACATCCCAATCTATAGGTAAGAAAGATTGCCTCAATTGCTTCCAGACTTGCATCCCGGGCCTACTGTCAGAGCGGAGTCCCTGGACGCGATCAAAGTGTCCACGGTGTCGGGCGGCGAGGCGTCCCTGCCCTGCGATACGCGCTCACCGCAGCCCACTGATATGTTGCTGCTCGTCTTGAGGTACAAAGACGACATCCCAATCTATAGGTAAGAAAGATTGCCTCCATTGCTTCCAGACTTGCATCCCGGGCCTACTGTCAGAGATGCCCTGGACGCGATCAAAGTGTCCGCGGTGTCGGGCGGCGAGGCGACGCTGCCTTGCGATACGCGCTCACCGCAGCCCACTGACATGTTGCTGCTCGTCGTGAGGTACAAAGACGACACCCCAATCTATAGGTAAGAACGATTGCCTCAATTGCTTCCAGATTTGCGACCCGGGCCTACTGTCAGAGTGGAGTCCCTGGACGCGAACAAAGTGTCAGCGGTGTGGGGCGGCGAGGCGGCGCTGTCCTGCGACACGCGCTCACCGCAGCCCACTGACGTGTTGCTGCTCGTCGTGTGGTACAAAGACGACATCCCAATCTATAGGTAAGAAAGATTGCCTCAATTGCTTCCAGACTTGCATCCCGGGCCTACAGTCAGAGCGGAGTCCCTGGACGCGATCAAAGTGTCCGCGGTGTCGGGCGGCGAGGCGACGCTGCCCTGCGACACGCGCTCACCGCAGCCCACTGACGTGTTGCTGCTCGTCGTGTGGTACAAAGACGACATCCCAATCTATAGGTAAGAAAGATTGCCTCAATTGCTTCCAGACTTGCATCCCGGGCCTACTGTCAGAGCGGAGTCCCTGGACGCGATCAAAGTGTCCACGGTGTCGGGTGGCGAGGCGACCCTGCCCTGCGACACGCGCTCACCGCAGCCCACTGACGTGCTGCTGCTCGTCGTGTGGTACAAAGACGACACCCCAATCTATAGGTAAGAACGATTGCCTCAATTGCTTCCAGACTTGCGTCCCGGGCCTACTGTCAGAGCGGAGTCCCTGGACGCGATCAAAGTGTCAGCGGTTTCGGGCGGCGAGGCGACGCTGCCCTGCGACACGCGCTCACCGCAGCCCACTGACGTGCTGCTGCTCGTCGTGTGGTACAAAGACGACACCCCAATCTATAGGTAAGAACGATTGCCTCAATTGCTTCCAGACTTGCGTGCCGGGCCTACTGTCAGAGCGGAGTCCCTGGACGCGATCAAAGTGTCCACGGTGTCGGGCGGCGAGGCGACCCTGCCCTGCGACACGCGCTCACCGTAGCCCACTGACGTGCTGCTGCTCGTCGTGTGGTACAAAGACGACATCCCAATCTATAGGTAAGAACGATTGCCTCAATTGCTTCCAGACTTGCGTCCCGGGCCTACTGTCAGAGCGGAGTCCCTGGACGCGATCAAAGTGTCAGCGGTTTCGGGCGGCGAGGCGACGCTGCCCTGCGACACGCGCTCACCGCAGCCCACTGACGTGCTGCTGCTCGTCGTGTGGTACAAAGACGACACCCCAATCTATAGGTAAGAACGATTGCCTCAATTGCTTCCAGACTTGCGTGCCGGGCCTACTGTCAGAGCGGAGTCCCTGGACGCGATCAAAGTGTCCACGGTGTCGGGCGGCGAGGCGACCCTGCCCTGCGACACGCGCTCACCGTAGCCCACTGACGTGCTGCTGCTCGTCGTGTGGTACAAAGACGACATCCCAATCTATAGGTAAGAACGATTGCCTCAATTGCTTCCAGACTTGCGTCCCGGGCCTACTGTCAGAGCGGAGTCCCTGGACGCGATCAAAGTGTCCGCGGTGTGGGGCGGCGAGGCGACGCTGCCCTGCGACACGCGCTCACCGCAGCCCACTGACGTGTTGCTGCTCGTCGTGAGGTACAAAGACGACATCCCAATCTATAGGTAAGATCGATTGCCTGAATTGCTTCCAGATTTGCGTCCCGGGCCTACTGTCAGAGTGGAGTCCCTGGACGCGAACAAAGTGTCGGCGGTGTCGGGCGGCGAGGCGACGCTGTTCTGCGACACGTGCTCACCGCAGCCCACTGACGTGTTGCTGCTCGTCGTGTGGTACAAGAACGACATCCCAATTTATAGGTAAAATAGAATTCTGACACTGTTAAACTGTTAGTGGTCCTTACTACGAATCTAGCGGCCGGGGTCGAATCTCCAGAAGGAGCAAATGTGGGTAAATGTGTGTGTGATGAACGTGTGTATTGTTCTACCTGTTAATGATGTTTATTTGTATTTAAGTATCGCTTTAGTTAATATTCAAAGTTGATAATCTTCATTCGAATTGCAAGCAAAATCCATCTCTTTTGACTTTATCGTACTTAGTAAATTTATTCAAAAGACGAACCAAGACGATGACAAAGAGATGTTTCAATTTTTTTGTATTACCGCAAGGGTAAAGAAACAGTCCGTGCGTTTCTTTTTACTCAAGTAAAGGATGAGAAGTGCAATCAAAAGCTATTACTAGACTCCAATGTCCATTCGTCCGTCTGTCTGCGGGAAGGATTTTAATTGAATTGTATTTGTGTTGCTGTTACAATAAGAAAATAATAAAAACTAAGTAAAGAAAACAACTAGGACAGAAAACGTGATTTTTTCGGATTTTTTTGGTCCATAGGTACTTGGCCGATGATTCTAAACTTTCATGTACGCGTCTGACTTCACTTGGCCACTTTTTATAAGTATAAACCCAAGATATTGTCGTTGGTATAAAGTTAAATAAGTAGTTAAAGCAACGATATTATCGTTACTATAAAGTTAATAAAATACGTAAACAGGTACCTCACCTTAAGTGAAGCAATATAATGTAACGGGCCATAACAAAACCACAGTAATATCGATTGTTTTTATGTTTTTTACTTGGGAAAATTTAAATTGCTTTCTGCATTGAAGCACGTACTAGGGGCTTGTATTTTTCCACAATTTTCCCGTGTAATAAGCTTTGGTCGCGTGCGGTGCTTGTAGGTACTACCTGTACCACTACTAAGAGTTTACGATAATGATTAAACTTTGAGCAATACTGCAATTTTTTATTTAATAATATTTTTGTGAGAATAGTCTATAAATTAATCTCTACCAAATTAATATAACTTTGAATTTAAATTCTGACATTTTAATTTTGACATTTAATTTTTATTTTACCATTTTAAATTTTGACATTTAATTTTTATTTTACCATTTAAAATTTTGACATTTTATTTTTTGAAATTTTGAAACTGTTAATAGGTGTGAAACCGATTGAATTTAATTTTATTTTTGTTTTATATGTAATTTTATGTGTAGATGTAATTTAATTTGTTTTTATGTATCATAATTATTAATATTTATTATTATTTTGTCATTGGCATGCTATGATCTTTATGGTTGAAATAAACGAATTATTATTATTATATTTTTTTTTGTTTATCTTAAAAGAGTGGAAAACAAGCGTATGTTTCGACCGACGACGCTTGCAATACCAAAAATATCAATCGCAAGCCTACCTTGACCCAATCCTCTACTCTGTGGAGAACTGGAATCTTACTTAAGGTATTTCTAAGGTAAGGATTTCTGTTAGGATAACTTACTTTATTATGTCTATTTCATGCATGATAATTAATGTCTATCATCATATCATCATCATATCAGCCGTATGACGCCCACTGCTGGACATAGGCCTCCCCCAAGGATCTCCACAACGATCGGCCCTGCGCTGCCCGCATCCAGCGTTTTCCCGCGACCTTCACCAGATCGTCGGTCCACCTTGTAGCGGGTCTTCCCACTGAGCGTCGTCCGGCACGCGGTCGCCATTCGAGAACCTTTCCGCCCCAACGGCCATCGGTTCTCCTCGCTATGTGTCCCGCCCACTGCCACTTCAGCTGGGCTATTCTTCGAGCTATGTCGGTGACTTTAGTTCTCCTACGGATCACGTCATTTCTGACTCGATCACGCAGGGAAACACCAAGCATAGCTCTCTCCATTGCCCGCTGGGCGACCTTGAGCCGTCCTATGAGACCCATAGTAAACGACCACGCCTCACTGCCATAGGTCATCACTGGCAACACACACTGGTTAAAGACTTTCGTCTTAAGGCATTGAGGTATTAATTAATGTCTAAGAAGCCATATATCAAATATTAAATAGTCACTGCACTTCCAGCAAGATAAATAAATAAATATTTCCGACACTCACAACAATTAGCCTAGCCCCAAAGTAAGCACTGTAAGGCTTGTGTTATGGGATGCTAGGGTAACGGATAGAATACATATACTGTACATATATAAGTATATTTATATAGAAATACATATTAAACATCCATGACTGGAGTACAAATGCTCGTATTCATCACACAAACATCTGCCCCCACCGGGATTCGAACCCGGGACCTCTCGAGTCGGCGACACCATGAAACCCGGCGTACAAACCACTCGGCCACGGAGGTCGTCAAGAAAGATAATTCTGTGTTAAGCATTTCCTGTGTAAATAATTAAATAGTTTACCTGATATTATTTATATAATAATATATGTAAAAGCTAAAATAATGGTAAATATAATAATGTACTTTTGAACTGTTAATGATTTGTACTGATTTTCTTTGCTTGTAACTTATTTTCTTTTGGCGCGTTTTGGCTCTTCCGGTCTACGGGGAGTGCCAATAACGCAAGATGGCGAGTCATTCGGTGTTCAACGGTCGTGTAGTGAATAGCTTGGAAACTGTTAATATTAAGTGTAAAATTGTGTACCGAAGATTAATATGAAGTGAGTGAAGTGTCTAAATGCAGTTGGTTGTTTGAAATTTATACTGA